CTACAGTGCCGCCTGCACTGAACTCTCGCTACCACCCCAAAGAGCGCACCTCAACACCTGCTCAGTCACTAAAGATGAAAACCCACTGAGGCCGCCAGGGGTACCCACAGCAAAAGTCGCTCGAAAAAAGCGCGAAGACGGTAAACCGGGCAGCTCCGAAAGCTGTCAGGGCACGGCGACCGGTTAACGGTCCCGAGTTTTACACGCGTGGCAAATCGAACGGAATGCCTTCCTAAGCCCGCTTTCATTCAAATCGCTTCCTCACCAGTGCGTTCGCAAATCGCCCAAATCACGCTGATGGAAGGTGAGCAGGTCATGGACAACCCTCACAGCCCTTGGAAATACAAACTCAAAGGGTGTATACTCTAATCGGTAAACATGTCTTTATCTTGTTATGGTTCCCCTTTCACAGGCTTCCAATGAAGATGACACAGAAAAATATCAGATAAAGTACCCTTCTGCCATACCAGAGGAAGAATCGAACATGAATTCTTCCTGGCAAAATAACTATTCTGAATATGTGAAACAGTAGGACAGTTTCTGGACGAGTTCCTATATTCTTATTCAAGACAAACAGTTGGGGTAATGCAAACAGTAAGAGGTTATGGCTTTGCTTGCTCTTTAGTCGATCCCCCACTTTACTTTTATGCACGACTTTAGGTGCCCTTCACATTATCCTCATCCGTTAAACTTCACCATTCACACGGATCCGAGATGATATCTTCTTAACCCTAAATATTTGATTCCTGACGTATCATGCGATGTGGATGGGGTCACCAGGCTACGCCGCATCAAAATCAGGGAATACCTCTTCAAAAGTCTTGCCCACCTTGATGTGCTTCTCATAGTGTTGCTCCAACTCTGGCCGTCGCACGGTTCGAGGGAAACCTTGAAGGCAAATCTTACACTGCACTGCATTCTTGCTCTGCTCGTGTCTTTCAATATCCTTACCGGTGTGCTTTAGGCCGGCACCTTGCTGCTTCTTCATTGCGCGCTCGCGACGCTGATTCGCACGGCAACCGTTCCCCGATGGCATATTGTAATGTTTGATATGCGGTTAATGTTGTGGTTACTTCGTAAGCTGAAAGTCAAGTTTAATAAGCGTTAAATATGCACGCAATGGTGGTATATTCTATGATTTTAGTCCTAGAAGAAAAATGAAAAGGAGTTGCTTAAAGCACACACAAATACAATGCACGAGACGTACACGCATCTCTACTCTAGTGCTGAATGGGTCCCTTTTCCCACACCCTTCAATTGACTGCAGATGTAGTTGGGTACCTCTTCCATCCTAAAAACAGAAGCACCAAAAATCAAGAGATGCCGTATCCGCTCCCATCCTGACTGTGTTTGTCTAAGCCTTCAGGATAGAAAACGACATGAGATTCAAGTACCCACTTAGCTGCGTAGTGGTGGCAACACGATAAGCAGCTTCATTTATATTCGTTCTGTGATCCAAGACGCTAGTTAGGATTCTTCAGGGGATCCCTCGTCCCTCCCATGCAGGGGTGATAGCTTCAAGAGAGGAATTTCGCAGGCAGTCGCCCGGTCTGCATCGACCCGACACCGAACCTCACATTGACGTGTGTTAGGTGGATCAGGGAGCTGCCTTTCGCCCCACTACCTCAATAAGCGCATGTTAAATAAACCTTCCCTCACTATGTTTGCATGAGTGGATATTCATAATAGTAATGGAAACAGATGGGAGAAGGAAAGACTAAAACGCATCGCCATCATAGCTGAGAGAAACAGAGAGTCCCACATGGGGAGCATGAGTAAAAGCGTGCAGGCATATGGCATAGGTTGTATCAGTCTCCTTTCGAAGCTGCGTTATTCAGCTCTTTTTCCCTATTTTTTACAAAAAAAATATTTCCTATCCGCCTTAAATGATGGATTCGCATTTTCTTCACTCAAACTAAAAAGAAAAACTTTCACGTGATTATTGGTTTCCCTGAAATGAAGCTCAAGCCTCGATTTTAACAGAAACTCATAAAATACGAATTAAGTAGATATCATGATATCAGCACTCAAATATTTATCCTCAAATTAAAAATAAATTCGATACCTAATCTAATGAGAGTTTGCAGGCATTTGTAATAAAGGTAGGTAAAAATAGCAAAGGTATCAGTGTTAGACAGAGGAAGAAAGGGGAACGTATGCACGCCCCACAAAGTAACAATAATAATAGACACCTCTATCCCCAAAAGAAGCTTTGACACTTTGTTTATTGTACATGCAGAGAATGGCCTCGCGCCCCTACCAATCCATTAATTTTAGTATTTGCTCTTTTGAGAGATTTCATTATTAGGGTGTGCATATTTGTCTGCAACAGCCTTGATCCATAGAACAACAAGCTCGGCTCCCGGGTCCTTCTGACCGACCTCCTTCCCACTGAGATACCGGCTCCGACCAAACTTAGCCGGAAGCTGTGCGGTCGCGGCAGCCGCCTTGGTTGCCTCCCTCAAGCACACCTCCAGGAAGTCCTTCAAGGTTACGGCCTGCCTCACATCCGGGCTCTCGCGAAGTGCCTCGAGCACGTCGACCATGGTGCGATCTCCCTTGCGGGCGCCACCCAGCTTCTGCACCTCGTCGCTACCCTTTGCGATAGCCGCACGAATGGCCATCACGATGGCCTCATCTCCATGGCCGCCGCCGCGCTCACGGGCGGCTTGCAGGGCCTCCTGCGCCCCCACACCGGCGCCGATGAGCAGCGCGCCGTAGAGCGGGCCGGAGGTGCCCGCGCAGGCGTCCGCGACGGCCTTCGCGAGGAGCGTG